ACCAAGAAAACCAGTTAGGCACCCTAGGCATTTGTGAAAACTTATCAATGATATGATGGATATTGTCTAACTGAATTTGAATAGTTTGAGAAAAATCAGACAAATTAAAACAACACATTCCTGGGAACTGTTCACATCCCATATGTTCTTTTAACAGTAGATAGTCTGTAGTCTCAAGATTTTGGAGCGCTGCAACTTGCACTTCTCCTAATTCTTGGTTGAATTCCGACAGTATAGATCCAGTCAAATTTGTTGTTTTACTGTATGCACAGGCCAGCTTAGGTATCTCCTTCTTAATTCCAACGGCAAGTCCAGGAACCGGTGGGATGAATGCAGCTACAACTGCAACAGCGCCAGGATCTTTGTTGAAGTTTTTTGGTGATCATCTTCTGCAATGACTCTTCCAGAAAATGTTGATGTTGGAAGTTCTTCTTCATATCGTATCTTAATTCGTTTTCTGGGTAGCCAAATTAGGCTTTGATCCTCTGTATAAACACAAACAAACCCTTTGCCCACCCTTTGATATGTCCTTTATATCATTGTGAAGAACTTATTGCAGGAACTGCTTTTTTTTTTTTTAAGAGAAAGGAATATTATCAGAAAAATGTACTTCCATAGCTGATCATCTTGTTGCCTCTACTTTTAACTTCCCCAATGTCTGGCTTTACCCCAGAACAAGTTCAAATACCTATAAAAGCTGATATCTTAAACATTAACACTAAGGTATAAGACATAAAACAGGAAGAGACTACCTCCACTCATCTCCACTAAAACAAAATTCATTAAATTTATGTACTTTTGTAGTTTCATGTGTCACCAGTACTAGCAGGTATGCTTTTCTCCCTGACTTTTAAGATAGCGGCTATCATATATGGGTGAAGTTGCTCAATACTTTCTCCCTTAGATATATAAGGAATAATACGTAATTTGGAAAAAGTAAACACATCTATTTAAACTAGCATAGTTACATATCTGTAATTTATTTTAAAGGTTACAGACACTATTCTCAAGAAGGTTACAGACTAGTGAGAGAAAGGTATGTACATATATCACATAAAAATAAGTCATTGCAATATTATGATAAATATGATAAATACTTTATCCAGACATGTTCAAAACTGGTTACAGGGAGATAAAATATGTCAGCATATATCATAAACACTTTCAAGAAAAAAATGTTATACATGAACACATTTTGAATTTGAAATAATCGCTCTTCAGTGACTTCTTCATTAGTCATCAAACATTTTTAGATCTAACCTAATCTTTTAGAATAAAGGTAGTTTCATTAATACCTTAAAATGTATGATATTTCATATTTGGAAAATTTCAACTTTGAGCAACATCCTGAAAAATTGCGTGACAAGGAAACTAAATAGACCTAGTTTTAAACAATTTATACTTTAGATTTTTCCTTTACTCTTTGTAGCCTACATCAAGTCTGCATATTACTACTATATAATAAGAGTTATTTTTGTCAGAGAAGATATATTTGCTAGAAGTTGTGGAGATTGGAAATGATGTTCAAACAATGTCTGGTGTGTGTCGGTTCTTATTTCTTGCAGGAGAACTGCTGTCCACACAGGAGTGAGACCCCGTAGCTGCATTTGTAACATGTGACTTTATTCTTCTCTACAGAAGACCGGATGGTAGGGAAACATTTGCTCATCAGGGTCAATGTATTCTCTCCCCCAATTTTGTAGTTGGAACACAGCAATTCAGGCCAATTTTGACTGCCAGATATTAAAGGACATGTGAACTTAGGGCTGGGCTGAAGCAGAGGCTGTGGCAGCCATTTGAGCACCCATTTTGGAACAACATGCACCAAGAGACAAGCACAGAGAATGGTCTTCGGCAAGAAGCAGGATGATAACAAACAGGAAGAAGACAGCTAGATTTTCAGTTCTGGAGAACAGTCTCTTTTCCTGAAAGCATTTCAGTTCTAGATCTAGCTCTAGGCCAGCCCTGGCTGTGTTCCTACTGCTATGGTCTCAGAGGTTACATGGCATCTTTATACATTTTCTATTTTTCTTCTTAATTTACTGTGTGAATGTCTGTTTCTTTCTGCTTCATCTACATCATCAGTCTTTTCTAACTTATAACAAACTATAAAAATGCCAACTTTGCCAGTGGTATTGTATAGGAGACATTAAGCTCCTTGGTTAGTTTGTAAGCGTTTAAGGACAGTGCTTTTATCTTACCAATTATCTTACCAATCTTACCTATGGGTCATAGCGCAGTGCCTCATATACAATAAATGCTCCATAAAAATGTGCTTTATTAAATGAACATGAAGGATTAAATGAGAATTTGGTATATCTGCACCATCCACTGTGATTCCCTCAAATTTTTTTATATCAGTGGATCACTTTCATCTTTTTTACTTACTTCACATTTTTAGATGTACAACCCTTAATCTTAACACCAAGAAGAAACATCAAGCATGCTGGCAAATGAGCTATAGGCAAGGCTACATATCTGATGATTATTGTCTAGGACATCAGTCAAATGGCAGCTGGACAATTTTTAATACTTTAAGAAAGTCTGGTTATTGATTGTTCTTTCTGTATTTCATTTTTTTTTACATTTCTGCCCTTTTTCAGGTGATTGGATCCTAGGAACTTCCAGACAACTGTACAACTCTATAAAGTGTTGATGTCATTAAATCACACATGAGGAAGAGCTTTTGCTCTTTTTTAACTTCCAGTCCTAACACATTTATAAGGGCTCTGAAAAACAAAGAGCCCTACAGGCTTCCGTTGTGTTTATGGCCATTCCCACCTTGCAGGTTTTTATAGATGCCTCATCTGAAGTGTTTTGTAAATCAAATGAACTGGATGGGTGAGATTTTCTTTCTCCCAGAGTGAGAGGTCATTATTTTCTAGAGAGAATTCAGTCAGTAACAGAATTGAAGGCTCTGCAACATTACTCCACCTTTTACTTTTTCATTGAAGAAATCATGGTCCTGACAATTTACCCACTTTTACTTTTACCCAGGTCTTCACTGAATCATGTTATATTGTTTTCAACAAATATCTTTTGTTTTTTTTCTGCAGTTAGGGGTAGAGATAGTGATAATAGGGAAGAGAAGGGAAGTAGAGAAAGTCAGGAAGAGAAATTGTATTGAGCTTTACTTTTAGAAATACAAAAAACTACTAGAGAAGAGTAATGGAGACTTATGGAGAGCTGTTTTGCAATTAAGAAATCTTTTTTTCTCCTACTTTTCCTTTGCTCTCAAAAACTTATTGTGATCATCTATCTTTATACATTGATATGTTTCACTAAGTAGTCAGGGAAGGACACATTAACCTTGATATATCAATATAGGACAAGATGAAAGGTGCCTGTCAACTTGTACCTACTGAGTCTGAATCATTTTGTCCATGAAAGTCACAATATCAAACACAAAATTTTGGAGCTGGAAGAGACTTTAGTCATTACATAATAATGAATTTTGTCATTAATATAATATTTGTTTAAATTCCATCTTATCCAAAGATTTCATTTTGTGTATGAGAAATGCCAATAAATATTTCTTTAATGAAATAACATTACAGTTAATTGAAAGTTTGTGGCCAAACCCGTATCTTCTGAATTAGTGCTTTTGGATCTGTTATGGGTAGTTTATTTTCCTCAGCTCTTGTCCCGGCTGAAACAAAGAATTAAAAGGCAGAGACACAATAGTGAAGCAGAGCAAAAGTTATTTGAATACACTCCAAGGAAGGAGTGGGCCAGAGTCAAGGTGGACAAAGGCCTCAAACTATCATGTCCTACCTGGGAGGACCTCTTGGATTGATAGTGTGAGGTCATTTGATTGACAGTTCTAGTTACCCATTCCTCTTGATGCACCTGTCTTTTCCGTGAATGCATGTAGAAAAGCCGGGATGGGAGGTGAGAGATAGGGCAGGTGCAAAACTGACATTTTATTTTAGTAAGATTGTGATGAGGGGTGGTATGGGTGGTTCTCAGTTTTATTTGATTGCACCTTTTTTGTGATATGGTGGACACCGGTTTGGCCTGGTCCCAATAGGCAGGGAAGCTATGGCCCTGGAAAGCCTTAGTTGTCTTCAAGTGGCACCCTCTACCAGGCCGGTTTTTTCCTTGAACCTTATCTTCCCCTTCCCCGGCTACTCATGTCTGCCTTTCTACCTAAGAGATTCAAGAAAACAAAGTAAGTACATCTGACAGAGGCAATGTATGTGGCTTAGCATGTGTAATGCTAGGATTTATAAATGAAAATATATACTTAGTTTTTGTTCCTTGCACAAAGCTACTAAAACCCTTGGAATTTCCTAAGTGGGAGAGCAATCAGGTGTCTTTTGTTATGCTAATGAGGTTACTTTTGGAAACTCCTAGGTAACCCAAAGACAGGCTGGTTGCCAGGAGAACCAGCAAGTAATTTAGAGGGTTGGAACTTCAAATTCTCTCCCACTGACTTCTGGGTGGGGGAGAGGGGCTGGAGGTTGAATGAATCCCCAGTGGCCAATGGCTTAACCATTCATGCCTCTGTAATCAAACCTCCATAAAAAATCAGAAGGATGAGGTTCAGAGAGCTTTCAGATTGGTGAACACCAATCTGGAGATTCAGTGCTGGGAGAGAGCATGGAAGCTCAAAGCCCCTTTCCACATATCTTGCCCTATGCATCTCTTCCTTCTGGCTTCTGAGTTATATGTATCCTTTTATAATAAATTGGTGCTTGAGTAAGTGAAATGTTTCTCTGAGTTCTGTGAGCTGCTCTAGCAAGTTAAAGCCAATGGAGGGATCGTGGGAACTTCTAACTTATAGCAGGTCAATCAGAAACATAGGTGACAACGTGGGCTTGCTATTGGAGTCTGAAGTGGGACAGTCTTGTGGGACTGAGCCCTTACCTGTGGAATCTGATGCTATCTTCACATAGATAGTGTCAGAATTAATTTGTTGGTCAGAGTTCATTTCTTGATGGTGTGGGAAAAAAATACTCTTTGAGGCATTTATAAAAAAGACTTTGAGGTTTCAGTCACTGTAAGCTCCAAGAGAAGCAACCCTTTGATGTGGGAGCTCAGAAAACCTCTATGATCACAAGAGAATTAATAAAACAGTAGAATAATGAAGGGGACAGTGCCAGACTGTTCTGCATTGATCAGAACACCTCTGGAATTTTGCTTTAAGTTCTAGGTGCCATAAAGCATATGGATATGTGTCCATAGAAGGTTGCTAATGCTAAAGGGGTTGAAATCATATCAGAGAGAAAATAAAGGATGTCCAGTATGTGTTAGGGGGAGTAGCATTATAGCTATCATTAAATATTAAAAAATCTCTATGCAGAATGTGGCCACAGTCTGGTGTACAGAGTATAGCATTTGAGCCAATCGATGATAACTAGAGCAAAGCTTTTAACATGAAGGTATTTTTAATGGTGCCATTTCATGATGGTATGGGTTACCCCCTGAAGCGCATGGTGTTTAGCCCTAGAGGCATTCAAGCACACACAGAACAAAGAAATGTCATAAATTCAGTAAGCGGACACACATTATCTCATCCCTGGGAATGTTTTAAGTTCTGTGGTAAATCTCTAACTTTGGATACAGAAGGTGGAAGGTACCAGTGATTTTGCAGACAATCTCAAAGGCAGGCAGGGCTGACCTAGTCTACTAGTATTTCTATGCTGTTCAGCCTATGTAATTTGCTGGTGCAAAATATTTTGCCTATTTTTAAATAGAGCTTTAGAAATATTTGCCCAGAAGAGCTGTGGCTTGCTCTAATAAACAGTTCCTAGACTTTATATATATTAAATAGCAAAAACAAAGTAGTTGATCTGGAAAACACTGAAAAATATGGCTGTATGTCATCTCTTTCCCAGTCCCAATATGGTCCCTCATTATTTATTTATTTATTTATTTACCTTTATCTATTTATTTATTGCTTAATTAAAGTGAATCAGTAACAGCAAATGGCTTCTGCATAGGAACTTCTGGGAGCCATACCCATCCTTCCGTTTATTAGATGGGCACCTAGCCTTTGGTGTGTCCATCTACTGAAGTCCGTGAAACTAACATCTTCATGGTTTTTGAATAAGAGGGTCTTGCTCTGCAGTGTGCCTTGATCCTCCTCTTCAGGGAGCACACATTACAGCCATGCTTTTTTAGAGAAAAGTATCAAAAAGTGGTTTGTTTTGTGACTTTTTGACTTCTCCTTATCCCCTTCCAGCCACAATCATTCCCCTCCTTCCAGACTCTGGGACTTGACTGTATAATTGCAGCCTGTTGTCTGCAGAGTAATTGCAGCCTGATTTGACTTGTGGCACAGCAGGATGACAGGAGTGTTGTCAGGCAGGGTCAGAGGTCGGCCATTACCCCCTGGACTGTGGGCAGCAGCCTCATCAGGATTCTCCGGAAGGCTCCTCTCAGCTGTGGGACAGGTCTGCAGCTCACTGTGTGTCTCTTCACATGACTCCTTGGATGAAAACATGGCTTGTTTTCAAGATACAACATCCCAACATGGGGCCTGGCTTCTTTTCTTACCAAAGACATGACAGCCATTCTGAAATGAAAAGAGGTATTATCTCATGTTTTCCATATAAATTTCAAGCAGAATATGTATATAAGTCAGCAATAAGATATTACATCTATTTTTCTTTATACACTTGAGATTTAAAAATGATATTAAAAAAATGTTAAATCTCTATGCTATGTAAGGATGAAATCTTCTGTGTATTAAGTAGGAGAATAACTTGGATGCAAATAAATGAAATGCATTCAGAATGAAAATCCTATAGATCCTGTAAATAAAGGATTAAAAAATAACAAAGTAAAAAATAAAAGCACATCATGTCAGTTGACCTAATCCTGTGATAAAAGAATGTTCTTTAAATAACATTTCTTATGTTTTGTCATCTAGATTTAAACTTCTGATGAGATGCAAATTCAGATATATTTCTAGAGATAGAATATTTTACTATTATTGACATTCTCTAATCCCATTTTCAAGTATTTTAAATACTTAACATAATTGATCTTTTCCAAACTTTAGGCATACTGATCTAACTCATTATAATTTCAATGAATAAATTTAATAGAAAACGTGAGAATTTGCTCATCAAATTTGCAGATATTATGAAACAAAGTGACAGTGTTAATGTCCCAGAAAACAGGAATAAAATACAAGGTGACCCTGAGAAAATTGGTTAATCTAAAAAAGATGACATTTAGTAAATACCAATGTAAGGTGTATGGGGGACAAAAAAGTTTAAGCACAAATATAGTAGTATGGAGAAGAGCCATGTTGTTGTTAATACACTAAATAAGAGGCATGAATAAAGTGCGTTTATGAAATATGTTGGTGTGATATCATGATCTACCAAATCCATTAGACACCAGGGAGCATTCCAACTGCTCCATTTTACAAAAGAATATTGTGTTTCATTTGCATTACTCCATTTCATTATGTTATTCATGTTGGGGAGCTGTAGTGCACTTCTTTAGTCAGAATTTAGGGCAGGATTTTAAAAAGCCAGGAGGTTATCATAGAATAGTCATTTTTAGGTTGCCAGGCTAAGGTGAAAACATAGAAACCAGGATGTGATATAATACTGAGTGAACAAACAGGAAGTAAAGGCAGCAAGAAACATAGGCAGGCTGAGTCAGATTGCCATGGCTGGGTCAGACACTGAGGATATGAGAATCAGGCTGTCAAACCAGAGGCATAGCAGAGGTCACAGTGGGTATGTGGAAGCCAATAGTGCAGTCCTCTGCAACAGAGAGATTTGAGACACATGTCGATTTCAGAGATCTGGTTGTATGACCTCCTTCACTTGATCCTTCTGCTGAATGCTAAGAAAACTACCACCATTTCTATCATTATGATAAAAGGTTCCTTTATTGAAGGCTTACTATGTGTCAGGACCTAATATAGGGATTCATTTGTTCATTCATTCATTTATTCTGTAAATATGTATTGAGCCTAGAAGGTGCCTGATATTGTGGTAGTTACTAGGATACAGTGCTGAGTAAAACAGCATGGTCCTTGCTCTGTAGCAAAAGTGAGGCAGATATTAATCAGTGTATATGACCTAAGTAAATATAAATATACATATAACTAAAATGTGTCAAATGCTGTTAAAAGGGATACCAGAAGACTTAGAGGCCCTGACTTGGTCTGAGAAAGTGCTACAATGGGAAGGATGAGCAGGAGAGTCCTGGAGAAAGAGGAAAGAATGAGTGCTCTGAGCAGAGAACAGTTCTTAAAGGATGTGGGAGCCAGTGGGATATTGGGAAGAGTTCCTACAAAAGGATGTGGATAAGGAAAGAGGCCAGATCACACAGGCCTAGCAGAGTACCTTAAGGAACTATAGAAGTTATTCCAAGTTTTCAAATACTGATAAAAATAATCTAATTTCTAATTTTTCTTAAGATTACCCTTGCTACAGTATGAATAAAGTGTTGGAATGAATGTACAAACTAATTAAGTGGTCAGTTACTTGGACCATCATGAGAAAGAGAGAGGATAATAATCCATACAATGCTTACAACCTGGGAAGAT